AACTGTCTGGACAACACACACACACACACACACACACACACACACACACACACACACACACACACACACACATGCTCACAGCCAGTGCGGTCTACCACAGTGCTCCTCGACAGAAGAATCCGTGAACCAAAAAAAAAAAGAAAAAAAAAATCAAATAAATTTAAGGCAATTACGAATGCAGTGACTGAACTTCAATCGGCGCACGATCGAACGGCCTACATCGGCGACCGACCACAGATGGCGGCTGCGATCTCCATAAGCGTGTGGCACATCATCCTCTGCGTCTCCTCGGATGCCGCATAGTGCGCTTTTTGGACTGCAACTTCCTGCTCGAGCATGTCGCATTGCCTCGTGAATATGCTGCATTGCCGCTTGCTAGATGAATCGATCGTCGCTGACATCAGTTCGCCATGGCGGTCCATGACATCAGCGATCGACTCCAACGCCTGTTGACGCGCATTCTTCCACTTCCCGCCTTCAGCCCCAGTGCCTGCGTTGTTGTCGGAGTCCTTCGCAGAAGAGCGTTCTTCAGGGCAGCCATCACTTCCGGCCTCGCTACCAACAGACTCCCCACCAACCGCTCCTCACCTGGGCAGCTRCACCCCGTCCGGACTGCCGGTRTCGGYGAYATTGGGAGGGAAAATAGTATGGTTCCCCAGCATGCCTGCRTGGATCTCGTTGTACAACACCCTATCCATCCGGAACTTGAAGTTGTGCTCCTTCCTTTCTTCATTCGATAGCCTGAAGAAATCTCCGTGGCCGCTGGCATTCTGAAACCTTTGTATCTTCTTGTAGTTTTGGAAGAGATTGTCCCACTTCTTCGTGTAGTCGTTGGCGTCTTTAAGCCTCCCCACGATCGCCATGCGTTTCGCAATGCCGTCCCACTTCCACTCCTTCGTGCGCATCCGCCCGTAATTGTGACCCTGCCCGGCGAGGTGCATCTACTGCTCCCGCTTGCATCTCACGAGGGCCATTTGTTCTTTTGGAGACCAGTACGTTGCAGACTTCCCGCCGTTGTCGCTGACGTCACCTCTGCCGCCACGGCCGACGGATCGACCACGAACAGCACCTCTGCCGCGTCCTTTCCCCCTCCCACCCGTCTTCCCCAAGGGCCGAATAGGAATGTCGTCGTCGTCGTCCCCTGCTTCCACGTCCTCCTTGAATCCTTCGTCTGCATCGTCACCGACACCGCCATCGTCGTCGCCGCCATCGCTGTGTGCCCGCATGTTGGACACTCCTCGTGTGATGTTCTCCACAGTGGGTCGTGGACGCACCAGTGGTATGCGGGCGCCCTCGTCCCTCAAGTCGGGTTCGGTCRGCGTTGTGCGGTTCGGCATCGAAGGACGTGCACCGCCGATGCGCAGGGACCCAGCTGCGACTCCAGTGCGTGCGGGCCAGCTACTTGTCAATTGATTGGCRAACGGTGCAGTCGATCCATGCTGYCGGCCTGCTGGCGATGGCCTGACACCTCCAGTAACGGACGCACCGCCACAAACTGTGGACTGCTCCGTATGCTCGCTTCCAGCATGTTGAAGGCCACGTGGCGAAGGATCGACGTCGATGATGAACGTACGGCTCACCTCCCTGGTGCCGCGAGAACACAACCCGAACCTGAGATCAAGTCCTCCGTCGTCGTCATCTCCCAAGCCTTGCTGCCTTGGCGCAGGAGTGAGGTGTACTCGCCGCCTTCGTTTTTAGTCGCCCCGCCTGCTCGCACCATCTGCAACAACACCTGCGTCGACCCGCTGGCGAGAGGCAACGTTGGGAGTTCCTCCCTCTCCGGCTCCTCGTCCGACGGGGGCAGTGGCGTCTCCCACGACTCTAGATGGGCGTACATGGACGGGTCGTACCGCCTTGCCTGTCCTACCGTCGCAGGTCGTCTTCCGCTGTGACCTGCAGCCACATCCGCGCGTGCCTGCATGCCCGCCATCGGACGTTCCCCTGCCTGCCGTTTCGATGACGCCCTCCGCTTGMGATGTTGCTTCCACGGCCGGCATGACAAACACACGTGGAGGAAGACGACAAACAGGAAGACGACCACAGCGAGCACCAGCAGAGGCAATCTCCTATGCATGTCTACCATCAATTGAATCGCAGGCAGGMACACTTCCACGCGACTACTGCAGAAGTTTCTTCTGACATGCCGGTGTATAGGGCCGGTGGACCTTCATATGCCGACAACCACAAGACAAGATGACAAAGGTGCCTGCCTGCGATTTAAAAATCGACCGTTGCCGCCCGCGCACTGCCCGAAACGCATCCGTATGTCATCCCTCACACGTCGACGTTCTCCTCCGCCACCCGCAAGCGAGCCAACGGTCCACTACAGACGCCCGCCTGCCCACACTCGGGCCCCCCCGATCCACCCCGTCGGCCAACGGCTACCGTTGGTGGCCGTTGTCGGCGTCGACTCGCGGAAAACCTCTGATGTCCGACCACCCACCCGACGGACCGCTCCTGGACCAGCAACCCCGTGTCGACAGGGCCATATGTGCGACGCAACGATTCCGTGAAACTCGGGAATCCTAAATTTTTCAGTAGGTCGGGGGCTACTGGAAAATTTAGGACGATTTTGCCTGGGGAATCCTAAATCCTTTGGGACTTGTCCTAACACCGTTTTCACATTTTCGATCTCGAAAATGGATAGGATTGCGTGCAACGAAGACGCAATCCTAAAAACAAGCACTTTTACGAGTGTCTAATGAGACCCCAATTGTCACGTCATAAACTACGAAAATGGGCAGGGTAACCGGCGTTCGGGACGGGCCGAATGCCCGAACCCGAACGCCCAAACGTATGGGACCCCTTGGGGATGCGTTCGGCTGTTCAGGCCGAACGCGGACCCCCAAAAAAAAAAAAAAAAAAAAA